AAATATAATTAAGATCCTTATTGAATATCTTTCAATAATATATGGAAATAAATTAGGTAATTATTATTTTATAAAATGAGAATATTTTATAAAAAAATAAATTAAATTATACTTTGGATTTAAAGAATGAGCCAAATAATGTATGTGTGTTACTTATGCTCCACCTATCCTCTAAAATAGTATAAAAGACACTAAAAATTTAAGTCTTAATTATTTTGTTTCATTTTGTCTATATATTGTGTCTTTCACTTTAGATAGTATTAAATCTCATGTCTTGTAAATCAAATGCAAAGAAGATTTATGTGTCTGCAATTTCGAGCATCTCATAAATAATATATTTATAAAAGATAAAATATAATTAATTTTATCCCATCATAAATCAATAAATCTTTTTTCTTTCACATATCTTGACTTTCTAACATTATCCTCAAGTTAGTATGACCATTGCTTTCTAATAACTATCGATTAAAGTGCATTTTTAATTTGTTTGATTTTTCTCAATGTAATAATTAAAGTAAAATGAGTTTCAGTCACAAGTATTTTCAAAGTTGATGATTCCTTGTAAAATTTCTAATTAAAGCAACATCTTCAGTAACCACTACAATCTAATGACATTTTAAGTGATTTCATTTGTCTCAATATCTTTAACTGCATACGTATTATTTAAAGAATGATTGAGAGTATTCACAACACATGGTGTCTAAAAGACACGAGGATATATGTGCTCAACAAGCAATGCTACTGCCCCGCAAATTGAAGCATTGTCAGTAGTTACTTGAATAACATTTGAAGGTATAATCATCATAATAATTTGTTTAATTAAATTATAAATGAAAATTTTATATTTATATTGCCTTTTACAATTTATAGTTTTACTTTTGCCATAAAATTGATTAGTGATTTATTTTTTAAGGTTAGTTCAGCCATCACACACCTAATTTACTCATTTCTCTTTTCAATTTTTTTTTTTTTGTAAATTCAAGCAACTTCTCAATATTGAATTTTTCCCTTTGCAATAATTTTGATCTAATGGCACTATACCTTGGTGGAAAATAACTTGCATGATTATTATTACAAGTAAAAGTAAATGTATTCTTGTGATGAAAATTTCTTATATGCTGAAAAGGAAGTTCTCGGGTTTGCATATTAAATGTCTTATACAAATGACTGTTGCAACACCTTTTCTTCTCTTAGATTAATACCCATTTATCCTAAATGAAATTATATTGACATTAGCATTATCAATTTAGATAAAAGGAAGCAAAATGACATGAACCATGAGTACATGGTAGTGACATCTCTTTAGGAAGAGTTTTTTTATTCTTAATTCGGCTTGTTTGACTTATTTTTTTATTCTTAATTTGACTTTCACTCTTGAATATGAGCCTTTGTAATTGGCACTACATTAAATGCATTTAAATGCAATATTTCCTCCACATTTAGAAATTTATTTCTAAATTAGGTATATGATTTCTTGAAGGCTTATGGTCTTAAACATTAGCCATCATAATTTCATATCATCCAATAGTAGTGCTCATTCTTTATTTTTAGCACATTTCATAATTATCATAAAATTTTAATTTCAAATTGCTTTATCCAAACTTGCTTAAACATTTTTTTTTTTCATTAGTAAAATCAAATACAAATTTGGTGAAAATTGAAACTAATCTATTATATTTTTATGAAGGGATTATGTTGACCTATTTGTGTGAAGCAACCATTAAATAAGCGGACGAGGCGCGACTCAATTCGAGGCGGAAGTCATGCGTATCCGGGCTTACGCCTCGAACCATCCAGCGAAGCCTACGATTTTTTCGCATGAGGCGTACGCACTAGAGCGTAACGCCTCGAGGCAGTATGAGGCACCGCCTCGAAATTTTTTCTTCGGTATATATATAAATACGACGCAACCGATTCGTGTTCGTGTTTTCGCATATAGGATTAGGGCTTCCTGTGAGAATTGAAAGACGAACTAGAGGCGAAGCCGTGAGGAAAGAGACGAAGCCGTGAGGGAAGGAGACGAAGCCGTGAGTGTAGGAGACGAAGTCAGAAGGAGAGGATGCAGGGAAAGAAACGAAGCCGAAGTTGTGAGTGCAGGAAACATTTAGGCATCTGTTAGGTCGGAAGAGCAGGTACGCGGTGTTGTGGCCTTGACTTTGACGTGCAGTAACGAAAGCCTGAATAACTCCTGATTCGGCTTTCTTTCATTTGTCCGCTCAGTACATGCTCGGTACTGCTAGGTACATGCTCGGTACCGAGCCAGTACCTGCATGATGGCTGGCGCAGTACAAATTATGCTTTGAAGACAATATGACCATTAGTAAAGGTGCTTAGAATGGTTGATGGTGAGAGGGCCCCGGCTATGGGATTTATTTATGAAGCAATGAATAGGGCTAAAGAAGACATTGCAAAAGAATTGGGAGGTCAAGAAAGTGCCTACAAAGAAATATGGGATATTATAGATGAAAAGTGGGATCGACAATTACACCAACACTTACATGCTGCTGCGTACTATTTAAATCCCCAATTTCATTATGATAAAGATTTTTCATGTTGACAAAGAGGTGAAAACTGGTTTGTATGCATGTATGAATAGACTCATTTCTAAAGAAGCTACCTCAAAGTTAATGATCAGCTTGAGGATTTTCATTTGAAGAAGGGAATGTTTGGATTTAGAGCAGCACAAGCATGCTACAAAACACGATCTCCTGGTATGTTTGTAGTTTGTGTATTTATAATTTTAATGTTAATATTTATGTTCAAGTCTTCTACTTCAACCAATATTCATAAAATACTATGTTTGTCTTCATGTAGAACGTTGGTGGGCTCAATTTGGAGATGATGTTTCTGAATTGAAAGCTTTTGCAGTTAAAATTCTTAGCCTAACGTGTTCGGCTTCTGCATGCGAGCGTAATTGGAGTATCTTCAATCAAATTCATACAAAGAGAAGAAATCGATTGGCAGCAGATCGAATGAACAAACTAGTTTATGTTATGTTTAACAAAAAATTGAAAGATAGACATCTCAAATTGCAAAATCAGGGAAATATTGAGAATGAAATTGACCCTTTGCTTGTTGATGAACTACAATCTGATAATGAATGGGTTACTCCTAAGAATGCTGATGTATCTGAAGTTGAAGCAGAAGGAGAAAGTCATATCAATGAAGAAGACAATGAAACAACTACCCAAATATATAAAAGAAAGAAACAAAGTGAGATTGGAGCTTCAAAAAAATTTAAAGGTATCTTAAATATAATGAATTATTTTGTATGTTACTATTATTTCATTTTAGAGCTAATGAAATATTAACTGATATAGGAGATAAAGGAAAAAATATTATAGATGAAGAAGAGTTGGAGGATGACTTTGACATTAATTATGAAGATTCTTCTGAAGACAATCAAAGTGATGATGAGCCTGCTTTGGGTCTTGATCCTAAGGGGATGTTTTATTTTTAAGTAAGTTTATTTTAAATCTTGTATTCCAGTAATATTATCTTAAAACAAATCTTCAAATTCATAGTTGACATAATATTTTGTTATTTTTTGTCATTTTTTAAAATTTTAAATTAATTTATTTTAATCTTTTTGAGGCTTACGCCTTGATCCGCCTCGAGGCTTACGCCTCGCCTCGATTCCCAATTTCGCCTTTTAAAACCTTGATGTGAAGAACACATGAAATTTAAAAAGCAATGATTGGATATTGCACCTAAAATTTTATTACTTCTATTTTTCCTCTCCCCTTTTCCTTTCCTCATAGTTTTTTCTCTTTTGCAAAACTAAATTTTCAATCTGCTAAACTTATGTAGGATGAAATTCTTTAGTCGGAGGAGCAAGAATGGAGAGGAAGAAATATCTTTTGCTCTATTTTGAATATGAAACTACTAAAAATAAGTTCCTTATGTGGAGGAATGTCTTTTATTGTAGATACATTATAATTGTGAGAGAAAGGGGCATCAATTTTGAAAGCCTAGTCACAAATTTTAGCATTGAGAGGGGAGACAGCAGTGTTAAAAAAATAGGGGAGACAATAGTGTTATCAAGGGTTGATTGTTAATGTCATGCGTCAGATATCAATGTTGAGATGTTATCATTCATTAAATTCATTAAAATCAAAATCAATATGCCTTCGAGTGTTGATGTAAAACCTTTTTCGTGAACTGCAAATGAGAATTTTTATGGGATAGGTATTGAGTGCTGGTGATTGGGTTGTTGTTGTGGAGATGAGAAAAGAAATTTAGTTTTTTATTTTTTAATTAATAAAAATTTGAAAATTAAAATGTTAATATTTTGAAAATAGTTTTTTTATAAAATATTTAGGACACATGAGTATGATGTTTTGAACATTATTTTAGTCAAGCTCGTTTTAATGTTGAACTTGTGTGTGTTTGTGTGTGTGTGGGGGGTGTTATTTCCAATAAAGGTCTAAAATTGCATACCTCTTAAGGAGAGGTGTTGTTGAATCATGCGTGGTCTGACACTTTTTCCGTTGTGGCTGTTAATGATTTTGAAATCATATATAATTGTTCTTGAAAGTTAAATTTTAATGATTAGACTGCATTGGAAGTTTGACAAGTTATTCATGTTTATCTTGTTGCCATGTATTTGTTTGGATAGGTCTTATGTTTTTAGTGGATTTCTTTAGACATATTACACATGAATAAACATCATTGAGTTGTACTTTTTAAAAAATAACCACAGATAGATCAAATACCCTTTCATAGATTTATCTCGACATTTTCCACATAGGTTGTTTTAGTGCTATTAAGTTGTTTTATTGCAACTGAGTTTAATAGAATGTTAATAAAAGATTGATGATCCAATAATGTACAACTTGCAACACACTGCATGGTAGATGTTTTCACTTCAAACTGTAACATTTTATCTGATTGAATCCTGTTGTTTCTAGATTGTTTTAAGCGTATTTTTTGTTCAAAAATATGTGGGATCGGCATGCCTTTTTTTTAAAAAAACTCATCTTTATTTCTCTATTATTCAGATTAGGAAAATGAAGGGTTTGAAGCAGAAGAAGGCTCACTTGATGGAGATTCAAGTCAACGGAGGAACTGTTGCTCAGAAGGTTGATTATGCCTACAGCTTCTTTGAGAAGCAGGCCCCCATTGATGCAGTCTTCCAGAAAGACGAGATGATTGATGTTATTGGTGTAACCAAGGGTAAGGGCTATGAGGGTGTCGTCACACGGTGGGGTGTAACCCGTTTACCCCGTAAGACACATAGGGGGCTTCGCAAGGTGGCTTGTATTGGTGCATGGCATCCAGCCAGAGTTTCCTTTACTGTTGCCCGTGCTGGTCAGAATGGTTACCACCATCGCACTGAGCTGAATAAGAAGGTCTATAAGATCGGCAAAGCTGGAGATGAGTCTCACTTAGCTAGTACTGAATTTGATAGGTTACATCTCCTTGCACTCTGCTAACTGCAATTTTGAAATTATCTCAAGTAACTTGAGCCTATAAGCATTTTTAATATTTCAGATTTGAATATATTTTTCTGTTTGAATAGGACTGACAAGGATATTACTCCCATTGGTGGGTTCCCCCACTTTGGAGTGGTGAAAGATGACTATCTTTTGCTCAAAGGTTGTTGTGTTGGCCCAAAGAAGAGGGTTGTCACTCTTCGTCAATCTTTACTGAAGCAGACATCACGTGTGGCTCTGGAGGAGATTAAGCTTAAGTTCATCGATACTTCATCCAAATTTGGTCATGGGCGTTTCCAGACTACTCAGGAGAAGCAGAAATTCTACGGAAAGCTCAAGGCTTAGAACTTCTTGAGATTCTATATAATATTTTCGCAGCTGGGTCTTCTTCTTCTTTCAATTTTTATATTGATGAGTTCCATTAGAAAGAATATCTGCCGCATATTTTCAGCCTTTTCCAATTATGCCGTTGTTGCCCCGACGTTAATTTTGATCATTTGGTGTTTTAAGTACTGCGAATTAGCCTTCTAGCTAGTCATTGCTTTGATTTTTTGATGCCGCTGCCCTCAATTTTTCTTGGTCTATGTAAGCGATTTTTTTTTTTACTGATGTTTTGCTGATGCTTTTTTTTTTATTGACCGAAAGATAATGGAAATGAAATTTTCAGCATTTAAGTTGGCGAGCTTGCAAATATTGATTTTTTTTTGTTAATTTCGTCTTAGTCAGATTTTAGTATACGCTCGCTGCCTTTATGTTTCAATAATAAATTACTTGTAGATAGATTTTCACCTAGGTGAATGAACTTCTAAGAGAAAGCATATTTTTACTGAATGTGTTGGGGGGTTTAAATTGCCGAGATTGCATTTCATGTAATGTTGATGTAGTTTATATAAGAATGTGTTTAGTTGGACTTGGGTTCTGGTTATTAAAACAGCTTTTTAATATAAAAATTTTAAGTTTTATGCTATAAGACTTGTAAGCAGTAAGAAAGACATCTTAAAAGAAGACTTGTTTTTTTTTTTTTACCATATATTTGATATCTGTCAGCTATTTCAATATTGAACTAATAAAGTAAAAAAAGCCAGCCGAAGTTGATACCTGGCTGGGTAAACAAATGTTCATGAGTCGGGGATTAGTAATGCAATTGTCATTTAACACGGTACAAAAAAGACTAATAAAGTCACCAACTCTGACATAGGATATTGAAAGGAATCATTTCAAAAAAATTACTAAGTGAGATGGATCTCAAATTCAATTAATTTGATACAAATATCTTAAAAAAATATATACCTGCGAATAAATCATATGAACTATAGGTAAGTTTTGCTTTGACGTATTTTTTGGAATGATTTAAAATAATAATAATAACAAAGGGTTAACTGGAGCCATCGCAATGGACAAACCTCAACTGACACAAACTTCATCCCGCCTTCAACCATTTCCTTCATGTGACCGTGTGATTTGCCATATTCATTTGACCCAGCACACTCGTGAAAACTTAGAAATCGTGGCAACCAACTCATTTTTATATTTAGAAAAAGAAACCTACTAAAGTTCTCAAATATTTAGGATTTTTGTGGAATAAAATTTTTTATATCTATTTTTAAGAGAAGCAAGAAACAGATGATGAATATGGAAATTGATTTGTATGATGTTTCATTCTCTAAACGACCAGTAGAAAGAAGAGAAAACTTCAGAGTAAGATGTAATTTACTTACCTAATAATTACTTTTCAACGTATATTATGAGGCAATATAAGTTTTGTTGAGCTTATTTTTTCAACAGAAAAATCTATCGTAGAGGCAAATACAACAGAATTGTGTTCGCCTTCAAGACAAATGAAGTTCTCAAACTAGCTCCAATGCTTCAACGACGAATTTATAAATTGGGCAACAATAGTTTGTGTTTTTTGTGATGTTTCACAGACAATAACTTAGAATGCATTTTTCAAAAATTGATATGCCGAATGTCGTGAAAATGCATGCTTCTGTAAATCAACTATGTAAAAGAATCATATTTTGTTTCAGTTATGCTCTCATATGTCTAATACATAGCTGTGTGTATAAGGGAAATTATTTTTTTCTGAAAATATTATTATTTTTTCTAATCTTTTCAACGGCTGGGTATTTTTTTTGCTAATATGCACTGTGTATTGATGTGTATAACTATATATTCAAGCTTATGTGAATACAAATTTTTGAGCTTTTACACATCTATGTACTAGAGAAAATATAAATTTTTGCTAATATGCATTGTGTATTACTATGTATTGGTGTATATTGATATGTATTCAAGCTTATATGAATACATAATATTTTATTTGTTCATTTGAAAGCTTTTTGAGCTTTTTCATAGCTGTGTATTAGAGAAATTATGTTGAAAAACATAATTTCTTTTTGCTAATACACACTGTGTATTACTGTGTATTGGTGTATATTCTATATATTTATGCTTATATGAATTAACAGTGTTTTATTTGTTCATTTGAAAGCTTTATGAGCTTTTACACAGCTGTCTATTTGAGAAAGTATATTAAAAAATATAATTTTTTCGCTTATACATATCGTGTATTATTGTGTATTGGTGTGTATTGCTATGTATTCAAGCATATATGATAATACAATATTTTATTTGTTCATATGAAAGCTTTTAAAGCTTTTACATTGCTATGTATTAAATAAATTATATTGGAAATTTTTTTAATACTAACTGCATATTGCTTTTTGTTTTGGTGTGTATTTCTATGTATTCAAGCTGATAAGAATACACATTATTTTATTTATTTGTTTGAAAGCTTTTACGTAGTTGTGTGTTAAAGCTTTTTGAGCTTTTACATAGCTATTCAATTTTTTTAATAAATTGATTGGTTTAATTATTATCTATTTTATATAATTAAATAATTTTATTTATTAAAAATAATATAAAATCATAAATTAAATTTAGTATATTAAGTTTAAAATACCTTTAAATTTTTAATAGTAATTAATATTAATCTAGCTCCAACTATGCATACTCTCATGACATCACCATTCATGTGACTTCCTTGTTCATTCAAATAAAAAAAGTTAAATAAATAACATTAATCTAAAATGTCCAAGTGATATGAGAATAAATAACAAAAGGGATCTGCTCAAGTTAACAACACATAAATTATATATTTTTAAAAATAACTTTTGATTAATTTATTCCTAAAATTATCTTATCTTATAAATATTACATTGTTATCTTATCATTTAGATATCATTTAAATATTTTAATATTTATAATATTTATTATAACATCCAATTTGACCCTAGTTCAACCTTGGTTGAACCATTAAATTTTGACCTCTCTCTTTTCTAGTTCTATCTCTAGTCCAATTTTTGCAACCTTGGTAAACTTAGCATGTTATGTATTGAATAAGATGAATATTAAATCCAAATCAAAGAAAACCCTAAATGAACTTCTTAAGGGCACACCATCAAACCTTTCCCATCAATATATATTTTGAATGCAAATGCTTTGTGTTGAATAATGGAATACCATATTTGGAAAATTTTGATGGAAAAATTGAAGAGGGTGTTTTTCTCAGATATTCCTTCATAGGAAAAGCTTATAGGGTATTCAATTAAAGGATACTTATAGTAGAGGAGTTGACCCATGTTATGTTTGATGAGATTGGTAAGTTTGCCTCATTTAGAGAGAAAAAAAGAAGAGGAAGATATTACCATTAAAATTGCAAATATAAGTGTAGATGATGGAGTTGAAAATAATGATTACCTAAGGATTGGAGGTATGCATCAATTCATCCTAGGGATATAATTTTAGGGGATCCTTTTGTAAGAATTTAAACTAAACATAGTGTTAGACATGAGATTATCCAAACTGTATTTATATCATTAGTAGAACCTACAAGCATTAATGAAGCTTTGAAAGATTAAATTTTAATCATAACAATGAAATATAAGTTAGATTAATTTACTAGAAATGATGTTTGAGAGATAGTATCAAGACCATATGATCAGAGTATCATTGTAACCCATGAGTCTTGGAGCCGGCCCATTAGATTTTGATGATAAAAAATAAATGCTTTAGGTATCTAATGCCTTCATTTTAATGTTTCAGGTCTTCACAAATGATTGAGCTAAATCATGAAAGAAGTTTCTCAAGCTGGTGTGAAGACGGGGTTTGGGATAATAATATATGTGTAAACACTTACATTGACTTAATCACAAAAAATGTGTATATAAATAAAATGAATTCATAATTAAGTCATTCACATTATCATGCATTAGCAACTTTATTTTTATCTTTATTTGAAACTAGCTTCATTTATGTCAATATATGCTCATTTCGTGCTTTACGTTCTATTTATGATAACATTTATGATTGATGTGTAACTTCATGACACTTAAGGCTTTATACTCTAGCATGATTCATGATGTACAATTCAAAAATCATTCCTTTTAAAATTAAAAAGAAAACAAAGTTTTCATTTATAAGTCACTTTCCATATATAACTCATTGGCTATGTCATATTATATGCTTACTTTATTTTATTCATAAATCAGTGTACTTGCACTTATCGTATGCTAATTAGTTTATTAATTCAATTAATTAAACTTTTGGAGTTTAATTAATAAATAAATCCTCTCCTTGCAAATTTACCTAGCTACCCTTACCTCTTCCTTTGGTTTGGCCAAATTCTTCATTGGGGAAGTGGATTAGGAAATCTTCTAATGACGTGGATGTCCCCTATTTTATTCCCTTATAAGTTAAATTGTTTATTCAATAAATTGATATATTTTCCACCTCATCCCTTGAGATCATCTCCATTTTGCTAATTGAAATTCCACTCCCTTGATTCATGCCTTGGTTGAATTTTGCATCCATGAATCTTGCCTAGTCAAAATTTTGCAGGGCCCTCTTGATCCCTCAATTAATTCAAATTAAATCCTAATTTAATTTGATAAAATAAATGCCATCAATTTGAATTATTTCCTAATTAATTTTCCTTTCAATTTATTTGAAAATAATAAATTAAAGAAAATTTACTTTAGCCCCATTCCTTAATTATGGTAAAAACTTTTCATGCTCTCTCCTTCTCTTGACAAGTTACTTTCACCTTCTCTTGGAGGACCCAAAAAGTCAACCACTTCTTCTCCTCTTGGATTTCCAAAAACCTAAAGGTCATATACTTCATATATTTCATTTTTCTTTGGAGATCAAATCACTTTTTGTGGAGATTACTTGGAGAAAGTCATTTGAAATTATTGAAGTCTACTTGAATACAGATCTTTGGTATTCTTGCATAAACTTTACTTGTCATTGGATTAACTTCTAAGAACACCTTGTATTTCATTTTTTTTTTTTGTGTGGTCTCTCATCTCATATATTTTTCTAATACAAAAATCCAAAAATGTATTGCATAATCACAAGTTGTGCTGTTACATATATATCATATATTTTTCTAATACAAAAATCCAAAAATGTATTGCATAATCACAAGGTGTGCTGTTACATATATATATATATATATATATATATATATCACCTTGGCAATCTTGAGCTTCCCAAAATTAGTAAAGATCCACCTACAAAAA